CTTCTTTTTTAAAGAATGCATTGTGAAGAAGTTAGTATTTGCCAAGAATTGAACCTAACCATGTTTTGGGGAATATGTTCTTTATAATGTATTAGTTCGAGGTTAGAGATGAATGCAAAGCAATCCTATTAAACATAGTTTACCTCTTGTGTCACTGCCTCTTCATAAATGGATAACAGAGCTGTGGCCAAATAAATTAATTGTGTAGTTACTAAACTGAAGAGCTGCTAAATTGCTAAACTGAAGAGCTGCTGTTTCAAGTATTATCTTGTTCTGTTGAAAGATTGGATGCCCTCTAGGCTAACAGATATTCATGGATGCCAGCACCAACTGCATTGTGACAGATCCAATTGTAATAATCTTAGTATTATTTTTGAGGAAATTTTGGTTTATCTTTTAAAAAGTACACTTGATTGATGATTGGAATGTGTGTCTTAGAAATCAGACTAATAAGATTTTCACTTGTTTCTTGTTGTGTGCCAAAAAACAGGTTATAAAAGGAGAGAAATACCCCCTTGTGTTTCTTCTTAAACAAAAGGATGATTTGCTTTTATTTCTTCTCCACTTTCTTTCTAAATGAGTTTCCTGAGGCAGCATCTCTCCTGCTGTGCCCAAAATGTGGAACTGGTTTTTTAAGCCCCTTTGATTAATTTCAACTCTGATATTTGCCAGGCTACTGATACTAATGTAATCCTATTGGAAGAGAGCTTCTCCCAGGTTTAGTAACATTGGTGTAAAACTGTAATGCACCCTGGGAAAAGACTTCCAGGCTTTTGATGAAAAAATGATGAATGATATGAACCATGAATGCACTCATGTTCCATTTGCCAATGTAAACCAAGTGGGGAGCAGTGGAATTTAACATATGGAAAGGCAGTAAGCTGGATAAACTTTAAATTTGGAAGGCCAATCTTGCTCATAAATTTTAACTCCCAAAATTCTCTGCCAAAAGTTAAGCTTCAGCGATGGATCATTGCTCAGCTTGTTCATCCTGTGCCAAATGTAGCAAGATCTGAAATCCTCTTTGCGAAACAAAATAATATCAGGCCCTCAGTGTTTTGATTGCTCGGTAATTTACATCCAATGTTTTGAAGTAACTTTTGGAATAATTATAAGTAACTTTTGGAATAATTTGGAAGTATACTTTTGGAAAAAATAACTGTTACTCAGGGTAGGATCTGCAAGATCTGTAGTATCCCTGATGGAGACTGTTGTTTAGCCTTTATACTGTATACATGAAGTAGAAGACCACATCATCACAAGACTGCCTGTTATGTAGTTGAACAGTTCTCAACCAAACCATGTTTTCTCCCAATCTCTAAATGAAATCTTCTCCTTGTTTCCCTCTGCCCCCAATTTTAGTCATACACTTTAGAGCAGGAGTGTCAAACTCACAACATCACATGATGTGTCGTGACGTATCGCACTAATTTAACTAATAATAAAATTAATAAGCCATACTGACAAAAGAAAGAAACTTTCATTGCATTGCCATGGCAATAAAAAGCATTTCTGAAATGGAATTTCAGAAGATCAGTTCATACAGTACAGTCAAGCATCAGCTTAGAACCAATGTCATAATGACTTCAAGATCTGGAGGAAATGCCTTTCCTGCCAAATCAAAATAATTTCAAAATTGATAAGACAGATATAGTTAAAATATGTTAACTCAATTAGTAAACATGCTGTATTTCGGGTCAAGTAGTGTGTTTCAGTCATTTCTGCCACAGGCTGTGTTTTAAACAGCAGCCTTACAACGCTTCTTAGAACCACAAGGAAGCTGCAATCTTTGCTAATTTAAAGCTTTCCTTGCTTTTCATCAGATACTTTGATTCTTTGTATATACAGACCAGTGCTTCTCTTTCCCACAGCCCCCTCCTTTGTCAGCCTGCATCCTAGGTTTATTTGCTGAGCTACTGCTTGAAGGAAGGGAAGCTTGATTTCAATATAAACCTACGCAAGGGAAAGGGAAAGAATCACTTATGAACTTCTGCAATAGAGGGTTTAAACTGAGCACTTTCTTGAAAATTCAGTAGATAAAAAGTTTACTAGACATTAGAATAAAGTCATGCTGTTGCCAAAATCCCCCCTCCCCTTGTAGCAAAAGGCTGAGAGTTCCACATAAGGCAATGGTTTCTCACATTCCATCTAAATTACATCTAGTATAATTTTGTGTCAAGATCAACCAGTTGCTTTTGAGACCTTTAACTCAGTTCTGGTAGGCAGTCTCTTGTCCAACAGATTTCCATTCCTGTCTCTAAGATCTTAGGTTTCCTTCTATAAGAGAGGGGAGGCCATAATAGTATCAATATACTATTGATACAATATACTCTGCGCCTGCTATTGGCCAGTTAAATTTACAGCTGCCTTTCCCAGTATTCCTGACTAAAAGTTAGAAAGAAACTGAGGGTTAAAAAGAAATTTTAAGAGAAACAAACAAACAAAAAGAATCAATAGTTGTTTGTCAAATGAACAATTGCATGGTAAAGTCCATTTTCATAATAAATTCCCGGGTCCCTTTAATTTATTTGATGCAAGGCTTTGTACAAAATTATCTCTGTTTCATGATTTTTTTACTTACGTTACTGCATTGTAACCTTAAGAAAATTATCAAATGAACTCATTAGACTGGCAATTTTACTAAGCAACAGTAGAAAGTGATGGGGTTAGATCCACAATTATGTTCATCATTTTGGACTCCTTGGTTCTCCTGTCGTGGAAGTCTGTGCCAACTATTGATTCATAATGATCTGTGTATAGTTTTCTGATTTCCTCATTTATTCCTTTTTGAACTTAGACTGAATATTTATTCTTCTCCAGTCATTGAGTACTTTCACCATTATTTCTCCAAAATAAAACAGAGTCAGACCATCAACTGGCTTCTTTAGTATTTTTGGATGCAATTTATTTGGTTCTGGAGATTTTAATGCATTTAAAATAAAAGAGTATTCTCTGATCATATTTCTATTTAGCTTTAATCCCACCTCTTCAACATGCTCTTCTCTTTAACCTGCCCATAATTTTCTAGCAGAAAATATAGGTATTTTTAATTGGAGACAGAAACAAAGTAGATATTGAAAATGTCTACTTTTTTTCTTTATTCTCTGTTGGTGTTTTGAATTCTTCATTGAATAACTAGTACACCAATTCTTTTCTTTGTCTTTTCTTCTGAAACTATCTAAAGCTTTTCTTAGTATCAGCTTTTGTTTTCAACCCTATATTTCCAGACTACCTGTCTATCCTTTCCTTCCTTCCATTTTCTGTAGGGAAAAATGGGGCAGGGAGAAGTGAAATCTAGCAACATTATAGGTACTGATAAGTTACTGGTGAGCATTATATAAAACAATCTGTGGGCTATAGTGTTCCTCCCATTATATAGTCAGGAAATACATATGAGAGTTCTTGCTCATCCAGCATATTTTGTGAAGTAAAAAAGTGTCTTTAAGTTCACATGCCTATAAATATAATACATTCCTTTATGTAATATATTGGATTATTTCTGAACCAATTAATTTCTGCAGGCCAATGACATATAAAAAATATGGCATATTATAAGATTATTTTCTGACTAACAAATTGAATAGAATGCTATTTCTTACAAGGCATAATTTCCTATGAAATCAAAATAGGTCATATTGGGCATGCAAATTCACTCTGTTAATCATCTTCCATTCTTTAACCAAATGCTAAATATGTATCTAGTTTGACAGAAGACTTAGTTCATTTTCTGACTTTCAGTGCATATTTGTGCATTAAGATCGATGGTTGAAATAAATTGTAACAGGTACTTTTTTTAAAAAAATGTTTTTTTTCTTAACTGAATTGACTAGTTTGTCTTTGAAAAAGCACATCCCAACATGTTCTAAAATTGTTAATGGAAAACATATATTTGCAGATAAATCATCAATATTCTTACTCTCTGATTTGACTCCTGGTACCTAACAAAGTATCTTTTTTTCTCCTGGATCATATCATTCTGAATTTTTTTCCTCCCCAAAGCTCATCTTTAATTCCTCCATTATCATAATTCACTGGAATGCAACAGAGCCATCACCAACCTATCAAATCCCATTTTCATTCATACCCATGAGAACTCAGGTTACACTAGCTCAAACATCTGGCATTTTAGCATCCTGTTGTATCCTTCCCCTTTCTCTTATTATAGACACACAACATATCAAAATGGCAATAAGACTTGGTTGCCATCCTTAGTCATACCTGTGCCACTTAGAGCATCCCCTGCTAAAGGTAAGGTCAGGTGGGTCATTTTGGCCATTATGCCACAAGCACAAACAAAGTCTAAATGTACTCACACTGTTTTATGCAGTCTTGGGTCTCTAATCTAGGGCTATTTTGCAAGCTTGCATCCCACCAAATTATTGTTAGATATTATGTAACCATACCTCAATATTCACTGACATAAAAAAATCAGATGCCTTTAATGCATAGCCAGATGTAGACATAATAACTACTACTCAGAATGATTTAAATGCATATCTTGCAGGGTTGAGAGACAGCTTGAAAAAAAATAGAGAGGGTTGTTTTGTTCACATCTTATTTGTGGTAGGATTATTCCTCTTTATTACTTTCAGTGAGATTGAAGAAAAGACTTTTTGTTACAAACAGTAAAAACAAGAGTGCAAAATACAGATGAAAGCATTGAATCATGTGAAAATAAATGTGTTCAAACAAGTATGTTAACATATTTATATATATATATATATATATATTTGGGTAATGCAAGAGGAAGTACTGGTCAGAAATCATTTCTCTTTCAGATTTACTGGCCAAGGTAGATTACTAAAGCACTAATATTGGATGGAAAATAATGCGCAATCAAAGAAAAGACTACAGGACTATCTCTTCTCACTTAATGTCCATAATTTTGGTAAAACAATCCTGGATGCCATTGGTTTTTGATAACACGTGTTCTTTTTGGAAAATCCTTCCTTCCCTTCAAATCCCTCCTCTGATCCTTTTGTTGTATGTTCCCCCCACAGCATGTGATTGCCATCCCGTGGGTGCAGCTGGAAAAACCTGTAATCAAACTACAGGGCAATGTCCCTGCAAAGATGGTGTGACCGGCATCACTTGTAACCGATGTGCCAAAGGCTACCAGCAAAGCAGATCTCCCATTGCCCCCTGCATAAGTAGGTGGATGCTCTTTTTGACATCTATACCATAACATAATTAATCCTGAGTCTGGCTTGTTTACTAACACCTAACTGGATAGACTCAGCTTTATTTAGACAGTGCTTGGCTCCTCATACATTACAGTATTCATGGATGTTATTGATACATATACTGTGAACCCAGTAAAAGTGCAATTTTTCAGAGAGATCCCTGGGGCAATACACAGGAAAGAGCAAAAGCCAATAGCAAAAAAAAAAAAAAAGGACCTATATGAATTTTGAAATCACACTGGATTTACTATATTTCAGATTCCTTAAAGGTATAATGTATGCAAAAGCTGCATTGTGATGTTTTGCATTCACTTTGCATATAAATGTAGGGTGAAGTTTTTATATATATATGTTAGCTGTGTGATCTAAGTAAAAAATAGTGATCATTTATATAAAAGGTTTGGAAGTTAAGATGTAATATTCTGAATGGCAGAATATGTACTTTTATTTTTCCCCATTAACTGTAAACTGCTACTATTGTTATTTATGCCTCAGGCTTATAAGATCCAAGTAAAAATGTTAAACTACCCAATTTCCCTCATTGATAGGAACCTGCTATCAAACAAAAAAAAATTGTAGCAATTTTACACTGGTATATTTCACATCAATCGCTCAATGCCTATTTAATAAAAGAGCAATGATAGTAGCCTACAATTCTAATTCTCTGAAATCTCCTGTTTCATGGCTGACATGTATATCAACATGCTTAACATGCTTACACAATCACTTTAGTAAACAAATGATGTTGCTTCCAGATCTATTTTAAGAAGGGAGGGGAGGGGATGACTAGCTGAGGTAGCTATAACCTCAGGAGAGATGCATCCATGGATGAAGCTATGTTGTCTTCTAGGAATATCCTCCTTCAGAACTCATTGATGCCCAAGACCTCCCCTCATCTACACGGTTTACATAGTATAAAACCTGCAAAGAAAAATCCAGTACTCCACTTTTTACCTATGTGAAGATAACCCTCTCTGTTCTAAACTTCCATTCCATATAACCAAAAGTCAGCTTTCCAGAGAGTTGGGTCACCTTTTCCCAGGGAGGATCTCAGAGTGACTTTGGGGTAATCAATGTTTCTGAGCCCAATTTGCTTCACATAGTGATAGCTGATAGGAGAGAAGAATCCACATATGGCTCCTTAGCTTCCAGAGTTACATTCACTCACATGGACAGGAGAAAAATACACTTGGGAGTAACATGAAATGAAGCAACTCCTACTTGTGCACCTGACTCCAGTATGAATAGATGAGAATCCAGTTCTTTTTAATCTCTTTATCAACATGGCTTCATCCAGTTGATGATGATTACATTACTACCAATGGCTATTGTGATCAAATCTTGGGAATTGTGTTCTCTTTTATATTTAGGTAAATGTTGGTTGTTGCCCATGAATGAGGGAAGAAGCTCCGGTAGCCAGATGATTATAGAATGTAAAAAGAATCCTAAAAAAAATAAAAGTAGTTCTTATTAATCATGCTGCATGTATACTAATTGCTGTAGAATCATGAAAGCTATTTCAATTCCTGTTAACATCCCCACCCCACCCCGCAACTGCTGCTACTGTAATCAGATTTATTGTGGTGTAATTCTTAACAATGTTTCACTCGGCTGTGTTGGTTTTTAAGAAATGTTGTTATAAAGAGCCAAGTTACATTTATAGCAACTTTGAAGAATAACAATGGAACAGAAAACTTTTATGTCGTGCCAGTACATTGTTTCCTTGGCTTTAATACAGAAAAAAAGAGATTATGGTTGAAAGAAACAAGTCTTTGACAGAGACCCAAAACAAATTTTTAAGATGCATTTCTAATAAACTGAAATATGTATCCCAAAATATATTCCTGTACTGTTGTTTAGATGGAGGTATGTAATACCACTGTTTTCTTGATGCTAAGCAGACATGACTACTGCCTGAATGAAGAAACAATGCAGTGTCCGATGCTCCTTGAATACTACTGATTAAATTCACTATCACCACTGTTAGACATATCTTGCTGAAAATATCTACAAGTGCTTTTAGTGTTATGAGAGATAGAATATCACTAATATAGTTATAAAGTTATTTGTGAATCTGAGAGCTGGTTTAATAGTAGTAGTAGTAGTAGTAGTAGTAGTAGTAGTAGTAGTAGTAGTAGTAGTAGTAGTAGTAGTAGTAGTAGAAAGAAATAATACAAAGAAATACAAAGGAAACTCATATAATAATGCTACTGGAAAGAATGGAATAAGAATTTCAAACTATTTTCCCCCTTTGGGATTTATTGCTTTTAAGCTGCAAAAGATTAACATAGTGAACTCTCTAATGGAGCAATTAATTGTTATAGGCACTCCTTGTCAATTAAACATATCTTTAACTACAAATCTAATTTTAGTTCAGTTCACCCCATGGTTGTACAAACAGTATAGTTCTACTTATAGATTTATTCATTCTAAAACCAGATAGGAAACATTTGGAGAAAGTTGGAGAATAGGATTTTATTGTTCTTTCAATATATATCTTTCAAAATACAAGCTGCAGATGCATACAGTTTGTCTATAAACTCTATAGTCCACCCAAAAGCAAAATATATCTTGGATACACATCATTTCTCTATGTGAAAGATAAGCAACATCTAGAAGTTAAAATTATAGCCATTGGACAATCTTTCCTCTCATGTCGGAATGCTGATATCAACTTTATTGATAGATAGATAAAAGTCTATTTTTCTTCAGAAAGACCGCTATTTTAAGTATTGTTGATTTTGTATGGGAAAAGGTAATGAAAGGGAACAATTAGTTCCTGAAATGCCACTTCCCCATCAATTTAGATTGTTCTTAGATCTGCTATGATGGGGGAAAACAGTTTCAGCAGTGGAACCTCTAGGTTGTGTGAATGAATGGGCCTCAAATTCATAACTCGGGGTTTTTGTTTTTGTTTTGAAATTCCTAGGAAAAGATATGATTCCCGTAAATGTGAGTGTTGCTTTCAATTACTGAATTTGTGGATACATATCAAAATTAACATCGGTGTTGCTACTGTTTGCTATGATAGCTAGGTGGCAGCCTACCCTGAATGTAATTTTGTGTAGATGGTGATTCCAAATTATGGAGTAAGCTGAACAAATCTCTCTCTATATATATAATTATGGATTAGCTGATCAATTGTTTGGTTCAGTCACCCTGTCACCTCTATGAAATGATGATTTTTGCAGTCACTTATCTTGTAATATAAAATTGCCCAATTCCTTAGTTAGAAAAGTAAATAATACATTTCCCTATTTGTTTGTTCTTTTTTCTGTCCACTTTTTCTTTTTGCCCACAGAGATTCCTGTTGTTCCTCCTACCACTGTGGCCAGCAGCACAGAAAAGCCTGCAGGTATACTATTATCGTTGTTATTGTGATTTTATTACTATTATTATATCACCATCACTATCATCATTAAATATGCCTAACCTGAAGCATGTGGTATCTTAATATGTTTTGGCTGTTCAACAATTTGCTAAAAGTGCCTGCTTTCATGACCATATATGTTACTAAAGAATATAGTAAATTTGCAATACTTATTTCTTAGAGTATGTATATCTCTGGCCAGGGATGATGCACCTCTGTTAATAGCCTGATCTGGAAAAGCATCAACTAATAAGTAAAATGTGGCAGATGATCTTTTACAAGGCTCCCAAGAACCAGGAGATCATTTTAAAGCACCAAATTTATCTACAAAGGCCTATCCGATGGCTTTTGTCACAAGGCTGTTTATTATAAAATGGTCAAAGAAGTTGATTTATAAGGAAAGTCAGTGCAGATCACACAAGGCTATTCTAACAAACTGTTGAGATGTAGAAAGTTAAAAAGAAGGCTTGGTATTGGTTTTGGTTTCTTTTTATGTGACTGTGACGTGCAGGAAGTGTGTGTGCACTCACTTAATATTATGAGGGTTTGAGATGTTTGAGTAGCAGCAGCAAAGCTTTGTAAGTAGGCATATCACCTACTGCTTGCAAACCTGGGTAACGGAAATGCACTTCATCACCAATTGGAAAGGCCAGCCAATGAGCTGATTATGGTTAGTAGAGGTTTCCCTCTGTCTCACTAACATCTTTCTTTGACATCATTAATTTACATCCCAAACTTTGCACCTTTCCTCAGGCCAGGAAAATGAGAACATTCTAGAGATAAGAGAACTTTTCCCATTATGAAGGCTTTAAAATAGTAAATAGACTGGTTCCAACTTATGAACCATGTGAAACAAAACATAAAGATAAATAAACTCCACAGATGATAATGGAGATGATAATTTTTAAAGTATCTTATTATCATAAAGGGATGACATTTTCAAGAGAATGATTGTTGCTGGGAAATGAAAAATAACCATATTGATAATGTCACATTGCTCTAGGAGCCATATCTCATTCCCTATTGAATTTTTATCAAGTAACATATTACCTTTATTACTTTGAAACTGAAGTGTCCAAACACTATGAAACAATGTTAAAAAAAACCCCTACATATTATAAGACTTAATACTAACATAACATACTAACAAATCTTCTCCTATTTTTTCCTAATCCTTTAGCCCAGGGGTCTTCAAACTTGGCCCTTTTATGACTTGTGGACTTCAACTCCCAGAATTCCTCAGCCAGGCATGCTGGCTGAGGAATTCTGGGAGTTGAAGTCCACAAGTCATAAAAGGGCCAAGTTTGAAGACCCTGCTTTAGCCATTGCTGCAAGTCCTATCTGCTTTTTTGGGGAGGGGGTTTACAAAAAAAAAAGCTTGTCTCATTAAGTCCTATTTCAATTAAATTAACTTTGGTGTTGTAAAATTATTGTTCCTAGTGAACAAAATAATGCATGAACCATGTTATGAAATCCAGCATGAGTTTCCTCCTGATGATACTCATGAATCTTCTGTTGTATATTTTTAATGCATTTTTTGTCTTTCTGCTCATACATTCTTCCCTTGATATAAAGTTATCATTGTTTAAAAAGCTAGTGTGGATACTCTGGTCAATCGGTGGAAATATTAACTGGAAACTGTTCAGTATTGTGGAGTTAGAGTTTCCTGTACATCTTATCATGTTCCCACATATTTCCCACAAAGTCAGTAGATTATCATGAGATATGATCTGATTTATCTTGTCTATTACAGTGCCTCATTTGCAATAGCAATGCAATTATGCAAATGCATTAACTAATCAGTGATGGGCAGGATAAGAGGACAAATTGTAGGAAATATTGTTTTGCCTAGAGATTGACTGAATTTGGATATCTTTCCTAATTTTGTTCAAATCATGTGTATTCGGTCTATACATGAATGGGGAACTTCAGTCTTATGCTTGCTTTTTTGTTTTGTTTTTTTGTGGTAAAAATCCTTACTTTACTTAGTTATTTAAATTTGTAAAAATTATAGCCTGGGAGAAATGTATTTTTCACTTTTAAAGTACTTGACTTACTTTTAAAAGGTCAAAAATGAAGATTAAACTTACTTTTAGAATTAAAGATGAAAAGACTAGTCCTAGTTTTATTTCAGAATTCTTTGGTTATTGTTATCCTCATTGATTATCTATTCTTAAAGGGATAACATGGTAGTAATTCTGGTAGGAAATCCTAATGCCACAAGAGGCAATAGGAAAAGGTAACTGGCAAAAATTAGGAAAGAGGTAGATTATTTCTCCTCCTTCTAAGGGATAGTAGACTCTACTTGAAAAAGTTCTTCTATAAGATTAGTTAACATTTGTTTAAAGGAGAGATGCTCTGTAGACATGCTAAATGATTTTATATTTTTTTGCAAATGATGCTGCTGCAGTAGACTAAAGAATCATACATGGAGTTGAAAGGGTCATCTAGACCAACTCTTTGCAATGTGCAAGAAAATTAATTAATAGTCTTTGAGTCTGACTTATTTTTAAAAATCTCCAGAGCTGGAGAATGCACAACCTCTGCCATAGTGTTATACAGAACTTACCATCAGACATTTTTCCTTAATATTTAAACAAAAGCTAGGTAATTGTAACTGTACTTGTTATTTACTATCTTAGTTTCTGTGGGAATGAAAAAAATCATACCCGGCCATTTTCTTTATAGTTTTTTTTTTAATGGAAGTGAATGTTTTCTCATCTCAATTTCCTTCAGCCTATCTTCACAGGGCATTTCCTCAAATCTTTTTATAATTTTTGTTATACCCTTATCCTGGTTCTGGTCTGTTAATATTCTTGAGGTGTGATGTGCAAATGTGATCTCACCTGGGCAAACTAGAGGGGAACCACACATATTTGAGACAGTGTTTATTTGAATCCAGCCCAGTACTGCATTAGAATCTTTCTAGAACCTGTTTCATATCACTTCCTACATCTAGCTTGATGTCAATGATCAATCCAAGTCCTTCTCTGATGTATTTCTAAATTTTGTTTTCTATCCGAAATGTAATGCTTCCCATTGTTCCCTGTTAAAGGACATCTTGCTGTCGTCAACCTAATATTTTAATCTGTCTAGATTAGGTTGCAATCTAATTGCGACATCCTGAATGCTGGCCTAAGCTCCCTATTTCATATAAACTTCAAACTTGATAAGCAACTCATCATGAAACAAGCAAATAAAAAAAAATAATAAAAATGTTGTATAATATTACCCTCAAGACAAATCTCTGCAGAACCTTGCCATATTAGCCTTTGTAGTTTTTAGTGTAACTCCATCAGCAATTTTAGAGGACAATTTTTCCAAAACCATCTGTGATTCTGGCTACAGAGGTTAGTCACACTGAAGATTGGTCTCATTAATTTTTCCATCTCAGAAATTCAAGAAACGTTTGTTCTTAATTTACCTTATTCAAATGGCACCATGGTTTATACAGACTTCATAGGATTTTAGGATATTTAAAAGAGTTGCAGTCATTTTAATGTCACTATGCTAGTTCACCAAGAAATGTCCCTGACAATGAATTATTTAGCATCACTAATTATAACCATCTTTTGTAATGTTTGTCATGGGCTATGGTTGAACAACATAATGATTGATTGAATGGTTGCAAAATACTTTGCAAACCTCATTTCCATGAAACAATAAACTATACTAGGATTTCAAATATTACTCAGGCTCCAATAGAGAGGACAACAAAGCATCTCTGCAACGTCTTGATATTGTCTCTCCTATTACTGTCCAAAGTTGTGCTCAGTAAGCTTACATCATCTCCTTGCTTTCAACAAGGATGTTTCACAATGGAACTTTTATACAATGAAGAAAGCTAAAGGTCATGCCAAAGGTTAGAAGGCACCCATCAGGGGTTCTGGCTTGCTGTCAAATACAAAGCAAAGGTTTTTACACCTCAGTCTTTGGGTTTGAGCCTTTTCTTTCTATTTTTATTTTGTGCATTGACATAGCTACTTTGCTACAATAGGACATCTTGCCAGAATCTGGAAGGCAGGGAAGAAGGTGTGGATGCCCTTGACAACCAACTTCTATTCTCCCCCTTAACACTCTCATGCAAATTATTTTTGAATCTGAATTTTAAGTAGATTGTGCACTTTTATATTCCTCTTTCTTTCTATTACATATTATTATTCTAATGCCAAATTGGTTTGGCATAATTTGAGGTGAAGTGAGACCACATTTGATGACGACATAAATCATTTTATTTTGTAAAACGGGAGGATTTGACTTTCCTTCTTCTCCAGATAAAAATAAATAATGGTTTTCAAACTGTACAACTATTTCAAAATGGCGGTTTCTAAGAAGCTAGCCACAAGGCAGAAATTTAACAAAATTTACTTCAGGCAGTCTAACTGATAGCTGTGAGGTAAACTGGCACATTTTTTAAAAATGAGATATACCATAGTTCAGTGAAAATCATCTGAAGGGATTCTGCTTTCAGTTCATTCAGTTAAGCCCTTTTTTCATATTGATACATTTTGGTTTTACTATATATTCTGGACCTTAGTGAAGTAACATAATATATTTTAATTCTTTTCTGATATATTGTATATATTGTTTTTCAAAATTTGGATTGCTAACAAAGAATTGAGGGAGTACTGGGATAGCTATTTCTAACCTTATTAGGTTTCATCAGCCAGACATACCCTTCTGAGATTCGAACCTGGGCTGTCTGCATGTTAAGCAGAGGTGTTAGTGTATATATTGAACAGATTGACATTGGTTGAGAGAACCATGCAGTAATCTAATTGTGCTTCTAGATACCATTCTGAAATATAATTAGGAATTATAAATACCCTTCCAAGAGCTTGAGAGTAAGGCTGCATGGCACTCATCCTAGTCCTGCAGCATTTGAAAGTCAGAATGCCTTGCAAGTGTGATTTAATATGAAATGGACTCATTCATGGGCTTAACACTGTGCTTTGAAGTGATCCTGAAACTCGGTGCAACATTAT